GCACTCCAAAAGATTATCCTCCACAGCTGCAAATGTTTTCTCTTTGTATTAGAACTTCTTTACAATTCATTGACCTACAGCTAACGGCTAAAATGTTTTTGTCCCCCCCTCCCCCTCCTCACCGGAGCAGGGACATAATTCCTTCAGAGCCCCTGCGCAGTCCTTTCCTTTTCTCCCTCTCTGGTGGGAGACTGTTTGAGTTTCCAGGGCTGAAGTGAGGAGAGTTGCCCCCCCATACATTGCGTCCCGATATGCGCAGCCCCTTCCCCAGTTTTCCCAGGGTTTTAAGCGGCGACACTCCACAGATCCGCTCCAGGGTCCCCCTTAAGGGCTTCCCTTTAGGGTTCCCCGCCCCGTGCCTCTCTGCGTTCACCTCGTTCTCCTCCTCTTCTCCATCGCGGGTGGACCTCAGCTGGAGGTTCCCCCTGACCTCCCCCATGAAGAGGCCCATGTCACCATCCTTCCTCTCATCCTCATTCAGGTCAATGTCCTCGAAGGGGTTTAAGTTCTTGTTCAGGTCCTTCAGCTCGTTCAGCTCGTTCAGCTCGTTCAGCTCCTTCAGGTCGTTCAGGTTCTGGAGGGTCCAGGTCCAGCCGGGGCAGGATCAGCTCCCCGTTCGCTCGGGGGAACTCCTGGGAGCTCTTGGACCGTCCCGGGAGCTTCTTCAGAATCGGCATGGTTGTACTTGAGAGTTTACCAAACTGCCAAACAAGGACAACGTCAGATTTAGTCATAATGTTCATTATTAACAAGGTCAACTACACTGAAAAACTGAAATGTGACTTTAATTACATGTATTATGTCAACAGATTTCACATAACTGCATTAGGTTAGTTGAAAAATAACATATATAACCCTATTTCATATTTTGTATTCAAACTTAATATTATTGCTTTCAATTAACCTAATAGAGTTGTGTGAAATCTGTTGACATAATACATTTAATTAAAGTCAACGTTTCCGTTTTCAGTGTATATTAGCATCTGCTTATCAAATTAACTTCAGAAATAATGCTTGCTCAGACTCTTTTAGGGACTTTTTGGTCATTTCAAACATGACACATGGCAACACTTACACCACAGAGCTTTAATAAGCAGGATATCCTCCAAAATACCTGTTGAATCCCTGTGCAGAAGACATGTCTCCATCCTCTCAGTGCATAGGAAATTGAACTTGTGGAAAACTTTTTCTGCTGGTGCACCACCCATCAGACGGTTTATATATAGTTGGAAGCAAAAACATCCGTTCACATGACGGTTATGCAAGGCACTTCACTAAGTCAATAAGGAAATATGTATTCAAAATATTTCTGCCTGTTCACATGCTGAACAACAGCTTATATAAATATTATAATAGTTCATATTATAAGAATTAATGATGTTTGTCTTTCTCCTGCTTATTGGAGGAATGTGTGAATCCATTTTAGAAATCACATGAGCCCAACTTTAATAAAAACAAATACTCAAAAAGCACTCTTAAGCACAAAACAAACACAATTATATGCATCTCAAGAGACTTTTGGGGTCAAATAATCACAAAAGAAGGTGAAACCAGTCAGATGATGCCAAAATATTCCTTGTTGGAATGTTAAATATTGAATCTCAGTCGTACCTGCTATACCACCCTGCTCAACATATAATGATTATTATAAATTATATCAGAATTGGTCTGCTACAAAGTCTTTATGTACTTAAAACGTATTTGGTTTTCTAAATCCTGAGTTACCATTATTTGCATAATTCCAACCAAAGCTAACATAAATCTGAGTTAGACAAACCAAGTGATCATTTCACTATTAATCTCCATGTTTAAGCAAACACTGTTCAAAGAAGACAGACTTGTTTTACAAGCTACAAGCTACACTGTAGCTTTGGATGAGTGTCAGACGCAAGTCTGGTGTTAGCTTTAATCTCTTCTCAACACAAGGAGGAGGATTACATCCAGTTTCAATTTATAGTAAGTGCGCATGTAAGAAGCAAATGAAGCTATCATTTAAATTGGTGTTTGACATTAGAGAGCTTAGTAGTCACAAAATCTCCGAAACACTTGATATAAAGCATTTGAAACACTAGATGTTATTCAAAAAATAACGATGAATAAAGTGTTACTAATAATAAAAAAGTATTATGATTACGCCTCAACTCATCAATTTAGAAATAATCTTAGGGTGTGGGGAATTAAATGTGCTGTATTTCTCTCTCAATTAGGGTATAGCAACAAACTAAAAACGTCTTAGCATTTGAATGTTTAGGTCACCATGTGGAGAGATATAAATGTATCCATGACAACTAGAAGACATGGAATTGTTATTTTGATAAAAGCTGATCTTCCTCAAAATGACTGCCATGAAACAGACCTCAGACCTCTGAGTGTCCCATGTCCACATCTTTCAGGATTAGTGATCATCTCTGTGTATTTGTCTCTGTTAATATAGAACCTGGGAGCAAACTCTTTAAAACTGAACATCAGCATCATCTAGACGTCCTCTCATTGCTGTACAAAGGTAACTCATCTTCTCTACTGCTCATCAGATATCTGAATGGTGGAGGACAGGGAAACACTCGATGGTTGTAAAAAGGTTTACAACCCTTTTCAAGCAAAACAGTTCCTTGAGAGAACAAAAGGTGACATGAAGAAAGCAGACATTATGAGGGCCTCTTCGTCATTATAGAACAATTCAAACAATTCAGCTCTCATTATATTCACACACTTAGTAATCTAAAGTCTAACCAGTGAGTTTCCACCCTATAACGTAAGTGCAAGTGAGATTATTTTCAGTTATAAGACCAACACTTACACCATGTTTTCCTATTTCTATCAATGCCAAGTACTATTTCAAACCTATTCCAAGAACACAACAAGTCAAGGCACCAATTTCTGTAAGGACAAATAGACTGAAAATGTCCAACGCAATCATTTCTACAGAGAAACATTATAATATTGAACATTGACATTCATAATTAATGGTAACTGAGTGAATGAGCAAAACCTGTTATCTCCATGAGCCCAGATGAAAATAAAAGCATCACAATCCAAACTGAAACACTGAGTGTGACACTTACCTGATGAGATTGCCTTGCAGTGTTTCAGTACAATGTCATCCTGGAGTGTGCTGGCGGAGCGGGCTGCCAGGCTGTGGACGCTGTGGATGTGTGTGTGTGACTGATGAGTGTGAGAGCGTGTCTGAGAGTACTCTGTGACTCAAGAGAGCAATGTGGCTGCCTGTGGTTTCCTGACGGCCTCTATTGTGGTGGAAGGTGATATGTTTTCCTGAGGAAAGGCCCGTCCTGTCCTTTCTCCCCCTCCTGTGCCACCGACCCTCCAACCCCCCCCCCCCTTACCCCCACGTCCTGCACCCTGGGGACCCTTCTAATTAGGCTAATTGCATTAACGGTGCAGTTTAGGATACAGAGCATTCCCTTGCAGTGTTTAAAAGTTTTTATTAGCTCTACACACCCTGTCTGTCTGTCTGTTAATGTGTGTGTGTTTAAGTATGTGTGTGTGTGTGTGTGTGTGTGTGTGTGTGATTTCTGTTAGAGGAAGAAAAGGAACTATGAGGATGATTCAGTGTCCACGGCCTTGAGTTTTAATCCCGTTGGTACGCCATCAGCCCGTCATCTTCCTCAGCGGAAGACCTTTAGTGGACTAATCCCAGTTAAAATGCCCATCAACACTGGTGCGGTCGCTATATTGTCTTTGCTTTACTGCAGAGCTTCAAGGTCACTAAAGGAATGGCAGAGCTCTTATGTGACACAAAGAACAGAACCTTAAAGCTGAGGGATTTACGAGAGGAGTGTGTGCGTCTGTGCTAATGGCTCAGCGCTGTATTGTGCAATTTAAAAAAATAACCAAGCAAAGAAACAAATCAACAAGGTAAGAACTGCTCTGGTGAACAGTTCCCAAACACAGCTGAACTCTGTGGCCCCCACATGCCACCTAGTGGCGGCACCTGGAATATGGTTGACATTCACCTGGATCCATCTTTGTTTACAGTATATTGTTCACATTATCATTTTTTTTTATTTGATTGCTTATGTTATAATTTGTATCTATTGCATGTCCTTCCTGGGAGAGGGATCCCTCCTCCCCAAAGTAGTAGTAGTAGTAGTAGAGTCAGAACAGAAGGTGTTCGCTGGACAAACTTGAACCCACCCTGAGATAAATGTGTAATGGGATATTAAGCTTTTTTAAATGTTTCTTTTGTAAAGGAGTATTTATTGATTATTTATGGTATTGCGGCAGAGATCAGTATCCAGCTGGAATCAAACAGGAATGCTGTGGTTGTGGTTGTATGGTGTGTATCTGATGAGAGGTTCAGTGTGTATGAAGCTGTGATGACTGATGTTTGAAGGTCTTTCATGGGCTGATTCACTGTATGTGGGCGGTATGAGTTCCTGCGGTCAGCAGAAATATAAAACTTAGAATTTGCTTAAAGGTTGATTTGAGTTTCTTTACACAGCTTCTCAATTACACAATTTAATAGATTTGTTCACCTGTAAGTTTAGAGAGTGTTCTAAATAACCTTATCTTTATACATACAGGCCCAGGTGTTTCATGTAATAGCCTGCTTTGGTCATTCTGGTGTGGGAAGGGTGGAGTGTGGGCTGTAAAGAATTTGGCATTTATTTTTGTGTTATATTTCTTCCCCTTGCAATTGCCATGTACTCAATTTGTCTGCATGTATTGACTCGTGTTACTTTTACCCTCCTGCTCAAATTGTGCACATGCATTGGACACTAAGTCTTGGCCATGCTGCATCATTAGTGTGACTATACTGTGACACATTAAAAAGAGATAAGCTAGTGACCCGGTTCCCACTCTGTTTTAGGATACAAAACAGTATAAATCTATTCAATTGAACCTTAAAAAACGTTCAGCAGAAATGTAGATAATTATAATAATAATCAGGTAATCAGTGTCCTTTGTAAACTGTTCAGGTAATCCACATTGTCAGTGCTTCCTGACCTGGGGAACACACCATTTGTTACATGAAACATGAACCGACAGAGAAAAACATTTTTATTTAGAATTCCTGCAATTGAAAGGACTAGTGTCACTTTGCAACTTAAATAGTAGTAACACTGTCTCAAAAACAGAAGGGATGGATGATTAAAAAGCAACAGTGTGTCAGCAATGCAACAGGATTACTTCCAGTGTCACACTTGGATCCATCTTCATGTACTGTGAACATGACAATAAATACTGTAACATTCATGACATCATAATCTAACTAATGTTAATTGGTCATATGTGTCTAAAGTGTTAAACATGATATTGTTGTTGTTTTCCTTCAGTGACTTGATCAGTTAGTGCAGAACTGTTGCATCTAACTTGGGGACAGGAGGGTAATATCAATAAGAGCAAGATAAAATAGTGTGTTCCAGTCGAGAAAACTTGAGAGCTACAGCTTATAGTGCTGCAAATAAAGTGGGGTTAGTGGTGGTTGTTGAAGTGGTAGGGCTCGTGGCGGTAGTGGCTGTGGCTGATGATGGGATGCTCGATGCCTTTGCTCTGCAGCTCCTCCTGCTTGTGAACTCCCTCCAGCTTCACCACCAAATCCCTGATGAAGGCCTGAGGGGAACAGCGTCACAGGAAGTAGAGAGGGATTCATTTTCTACAATTAAAGAGTTCCAATGGGTCTTTTAAATGTGTCAACACGACCCCTATATGTTATTTGTTCATAAGTATTATGTCTGCTGTCACTAATGTAAAGTCAAGTATATTCAATATGATTCATGATCCCAGATGATCCAGTATCCATGTTAAAGGGGCCCTGTTGTATTTTGGGGGTTTTCCCTTTCCTGTAGTGTGTTACAGTATATAGGGTTGTGTGCATGTGAATGTTCTGCAAAGGCTAAATTCCCAAAGTTCCCTCCAGAAGGAGTTTCTCTCCCCTCCCTGCCTGAAACGCCTCCATTGGACTCCTCTGTTTACTTACAGAACATAATGACATCACAAACACTTGCGCTTATTTTGGCTCGTGCTCCAAGACATCATACGTGGTGAGGCTAAGGGGCGGGACATCTCTTAGCAGTTGACCAATCACAAGAGAGCATGCTAGCTAACCAATCAGAGCAGACTGGGCTCTGGTTTCAGACAGAGGGTGAAAAGAGGTGCTGCAGCACAGGCAGTGTGAGAAAAATAAAGAGCTTTTTGAACATGGAGACATGTCACAGAGACACTAAATACAGATATTCATCTGGAAATGAGCAGAATATGTCCTCTTTAAGCTTGACATTTAGCATGTGCACATTAAAGGAGAAGTCTAGCAATATTTTATATGTTTTATCATTGTAAGCAATTTTGATTAAAACCAACTAGGCATGTATGTGTATACACAGTAAGTGTATACATCAAAATCTCGTTCTTCTGTTAGAAGAGAGACCCACTGTGGTACCTTAGTTTCCATGAACACAGAAACACTGTTTATGTTTTATTTTGACTAGTGAACCAGATCTATCCCTCTCTTTCTCTAACATTTAAAAACATGTCAATACCCAACCTTAATAGGTTATGATTATTTATTAATAAGCCCTTTTTAGAGGCACAGACAGGTTGGGGAAGCTAAAAGCAGTGAGAGACTATTACTTTGTTGGTTTTGGTCTTTTTATGGTATTTCTAGAAAAAAATGAAACCTGTTCCTTTAACATTTAGCAGTAATGGCTAATGATTCCTTCCTTTCTGTATAATTTAACCTATTTGTATCCAGGACAAGGCAGTAGGACAAGATAAATAAGGGCCTGTTTCTCTGCTACATTTAATACTGCTAAACTAAACACATCTGCTTATTCCCTTCCTCAGCACTAGCTTCAATTAAAACATTGCTGATTGCCACATACACATGGTGATATACTGTGCTCTGTGAGCATAACAAATAGGATGTGTAAGATCTGAGCCTGTCTCAAAACACATTAAACAGTTTTACATCTATGGTATAGAACCAACATATTATGGTCAGTACATACATTATGAATTTAAGCTACTCAGAGCATGAAAGATTTATTTTAGAAATTAATAAATAGCGTTGGTGAAAAAAACAAAAACAAACAAACAACAACATACTGTTACCAAGGAGTGACAGGGGATTTTTAGGGTAAGGTTACTTGACTACCAGTGGACAATTGCAACATTAAGGAAACCACCATTACAGTAAAGACATTTGAAAGGATAAGTATTCATGCATCAATGTCAAATATATATATATAAAACAGCAATTAGTATCATTAGTAGTGTCAATCAATTTAGTTTTTTGTCCTTTTCCATCCCTTTTTGTTGAATATTTGAGATGTTTTAATGCCCATAGATAGAAAAAGCCCTTGGAGAGCAGCGAGGTCCCAGGACTGTAACTGAAGGCTGAGAAACAGTTCCATCTGTGTTCTGTGTTGTGACGTAAATGTGATGATCATTTCTCAAAACTGACAAAATAAATCACAGAAAAATAAGTTACCAGAATGTGATCTGTGACATGCCAGAAAAAAACACGGTAACACTTTATATTAAGGTACACAAATTAACCATCAACTAGTTGTTAATTAACATGTATATTAGCAGTATATTGGCTCTTTATTAGTCATTATAAAACACTTATTAATGCCTTATTCTACATGACCATATTCTACAAGTAATAAGCCATTAGTTGAGAGTTTTTCCTCAATAACCCTCTAATTAGTGCTTATTTATTGCAAGTAAGGAAGTTGTTGTACATGAGTTTAGGTCTTAATATGCTCTGCTCAATATGGGCCTAATAAGGCAGTAGTACCACAAGAATAGTAATTCTCCCATAATAACACTTGTTTACAAGACATGAAACTATAAGTGTTAATTGTGTCTAAATAACTCAAATTAGGTATTTCTATCTAAGAATATGTTTTGGGGTATTGACAGTTCAGCTACCAATAGCAAGGTGATATTGACCTGTATGTTTCATATTTGCACATTTATATTTTTGTAAAATGTGTACTGAAGGTTAAACAGGAAACCGGGTACAGAAAGTAGGAGAAAGTGAACTGAATAGCCAACCCAGTCTCACGGCATTTCGTGTTATAGTCACGACATTTAATCTATTGATTCGTGTTCACCAACACGATTTTCACCTTTTTTTCGTGTCACACAGAACGATTTTAAAAGCAATGTATTTCTATTGGTAGTATGTTTCGTGCCTGCAACACGTCTTTTTGTCCGGTCGGGTCTTGGAAGACCGGAAGCTGTGTGGTTCATAAAAACATGTTCTTTATATATACAGTCTATGGTTCTTACTCAATATCAAGCCACGATTATTGTTTTTAATTTTAAATCGTATAATGTCGGACTTTTTTTGCCGTCAGTGAGGAAAATAAATGGAGCTCAGAGCCTCAAAATACTGAAATCTGTATTTTTTAAAATCTTTTTTTCCTTCTAATTTGTTATTCTTTTCTAAATAACACACTGTTATTTACTCAACAATAACACACAATTATCCTTGTTTTTATTTATTTGTTTAATTCCATAATCTCTGGCTTTTTTGGCGTCCGTCAGGAACTGAATTTCAAAATAAAATAACCGGAAACAGATACACAGCCACTGAACTGATTACCCAAGATCCTCAGCTATGGTTTAAGCTCGGTGATTGGATTGTTTAACCACAATGCACGTTGGGATATGGTGTTAATGCGATATGAAATCCGAAAAACATTTTAAAAAAAAGAAAATAATACTTTATTCCGAATGTGCTTGCTTTTCTCTTTGAAAGTCATCACATAACGGCATTGTAAGACACGGTTCGGCTGCATTAAATATTACACATCTGCCGTAGTTCTGTATTTATAGAGCCCTGATGAGAAGACTTCTAGACAAACAGGAAGAACTGCCGCCAAAACTGAATACGTGACGTGGATCAAATATAAAAGTCAGCCGAATTAGTGTTGATACTGCAAGGAGACGTATTGTGTGAAGAGAAATTGAAGATGTTGTTTAATTGCTGATATATTTATAGCCGAACCGTGTCTTACAATCCTGTCATATAGCCATTATATACAGTCTTTAATTAACTATTAGTAGAGAATAACGAGTAATGAATATACTTTATAGGGATCTGCAGATAAATGTTTAGTCTTCTCAAGCTATCAAACTATCAAATATCTCGCCTGATTGTTGGCACTTGACAATCACCTTCCCTGAATTGTACTCAGGTGTAACTAAAGTCTGATTTAAGGGTTGTTTATATTTCACATCATTAATCAGAATCTGCTGGTCCCGTTCGAATCCAGTTTTGGATAGTCTGCCGTGGTTTCGTTCCATTTCAAAGAGCTGTTTGACGCTCGGCGTAACCTTGGCGCACTGCCACTCCAACATCCAATCCCAGATCTTGAAGATTAATCACGGGGACTGTAGTCCCTAACGATAGCTAGGGATTATGGGTAGTGTAGTGTCTTTGGCCATCCTAAACTCCGAAATGTTTTTCGGATTTCATATCGCATTAACACCATATCCCAACGCGCATTGCGGCTAAAACATCCAATCACCAAACTTAAACCATAGCTGAGGATCTTGGGTAATCAGTTCAGTGGCTGTGTATCGCAATGATGCTCGAAATGTCCCATATAGGCCTACGTCTGTTTCCGGTTATTTTTATTTTGAAATTCAGTTCCTGACGGACGCCAAAAAAGCCAGAGATTATGGAATTAAACAAATAAATAAAAACATGGATAATTGTGTGTTATTGTTGAGTAAATAACAGTGTGTTATTTAGAAAAGAATAACAAATTACAAGGAAAAAAAGATTTAAAAAATACAGATTTCAGTATTTTGAGGCTCTGAGCCCCATTTCTTTTCCTCGCGGACGGCAAAAAAAGTCCGACATTATACGATTTAAAATAAAAACAATAATCGTGGCTTGATATTGAGTAAGAACATGTTTTTATGAACCCCACAGCTTCCGGTCATGCAACATCGTATTTCAATTTCGCCCTGACTGCTTCAGGCCGTAAATTGACTTCTCTAGCTTACACACTAGCTTTTCTCCGCACACCGCAAACTGCCCTGTAACAATAATCTACACTAGTGAGTGTTTTATCATCTTCATCACTATCTTCCTGAGTATAATCTTTCAAGTACTCTGGGGGTTTTCGCTCCCTACTGGGATATCTCCCACTGTCTGAGGCATGTGACGCCACCCTAGGGTGCTGTTCGCCATCATCCTCTGGTGCTGACTGTGGACCGTTAGTCTGTACATCTGTGCTCAGTACACTAGGCTGTGGGGCCTTTACTCCCTCTTCACAGTCTTCCTCCGAATCCTGTTCTAGCCTCTGTGTCTGAGTCTCACTATCACAAGTTGTGCTGGTGATAAACTTTACTAGTCTGTGCTTCTGCACCTTCTCTTTGTCGGGGTAGTAAACTAGATAGGCGGGGCTTCCCTAGTCATGCCCTACAAAACGTCCTTTCTCACACCTAGTATCTAATTTCCCCCTATCCTGCTGGTACGCATAACACACTGCTCCAAACGTATGCATCCTAGCTAAGTTACACTTCTTCCCTGTCAGTGCTGAATATGGCGTAGTGCCCGTGTGCTTATTAAAACACCGGTTTCTGGTATGGGCTGCTTCCTGAATGGCATAGTGCCAAAGGTTTTTAGGTAGATCAGTGTCAATAAACATACACCTGGCCATTTCAAAAAGAGTGCGCCCTTCTCTTTCTGCTGTCCAGTTTTGATGTGGGGAATAAGGACAAGACGTCTCATGTCTGATCTTGTTCTTTCTCAATAGTGTCTGAAACTCCTTACTAGTGAACTCAGTCCCGTTATCTGATCTAATGCATTTCACAGTCCCATAGGGAGCTACATCTGCCAGATACTTCTCAGTGGCTTGAACTGCGTCACTCTTCGCTTTCAGGAAATAAACAAACACTGCCCCTGTACACACATCTGTAAATGACTGCATATACCTGAAGCCATTTATGGACTCGTTATTAACTGGACCAGCTAGATCAGTGTTCACCAACTCAAGTGGTGTGTTTGCTTTATCGGTCGGATCTCTGTTTCTCGTTTGGGTAAACTTTCCCTCTATGCATACTGTACAATCTTTATCAGGTTTACGCTTTGTACCCTTAATATGCATACCTACAGTTACATCCTGCAGCTTTAAAACATCCTCATGTCTCTGCGGTCCTGCCTGGGTCTCGTCATGCTGCTTCCCTGATGGCTCCCACAGGATTGTTGTTGACATCTTCGTGGATTCATCTTCTTATTATAGACACATGCATTTCCTATCATTCGGTCTACCTACCTACGCTGTAAGACGTATTATCTCTTTGATTTACAGACAGCATCTATTGCACGTCTGTCCGTCCTGGGAGAGGGATCCCTCCTCTGTTGCTCTCCCCGAGGTTTCTCCCATTTTTTCCCTTTAAACTGTGGGTTTTTCTCCGGAAGTTTTTCCTTGTACGATGTGAGGGTCTAAGGACAGAGGGTGTCGTTTTTTCTCATACTGATATTCTGAACTAACTGTGCTGTTGTATTTGCTGTAAAATGTCTTTACTGTAGGGTATTTTTACTATTTGTACAGCACTTTGGCTCGACCAAAAATCGTTTATAAATGTGCTATATAAATAAAACTTGATTTGATTTTGATTTGACTTATTTGAGCATCAACTTTGGGTGACCTCTTCTACTGCTTACTTTGTAAAATACTGAGTATGAGCGTCTTTAGCCTGATAGGAATCACAGTGACATGCTGTGTTATGGCAACAACACAGGTACAGCTGCAAAAGTTATCTTGATACTGACTGTAAACATTTGTTAGACTGTAGATTCATTTGTTTTAGATATTAATCAGCGCTCAAATAAAAATAAATATTTTTCTTCTTTTCATACTACTTATCAAGAGATTCCCTTTAAAACCTTTTCAAATAAAGTGTTGAGAGGCAAATTCTGCCATTCATCTGATGTTGAAATAAGGTTACAACATTTACATACTTTTTCTTCATCCACTGCATGGGAACACAGAACCTGTTTTATAAGATTTACTTTGAAAGATGCCCACTTAATTTGAAAAACTCAGACTGTTGAAGTCACATATTGACTTCAGATACACTTTGGGATAAATCTTTACACAGAGCAAGGACTTTGAGTTTCGCAATCATTACCATCTGAGGCATATAAGAAGGGGATCTTTATATGTCCAGTTTAAACTTATTATTAATAATATAATACTATAATTATTTTAGTGTACACACATACATGTTGTTTTAAGACTTAAAAAAATATGGACTTCTCTTAACAATGCTCCCCAGCAGCGTGTGAGTTAGAAAGCAGCAGCTACACTGACCCTCCCTGCTCTTTTGCCAGCGTTTGCATCTCAGACCAGGCCACAGCGAGGCCAACGCCTGAGTCCAGAAAGACTCATTGTTTCAGTTTTAAATGAACAGAAAAAGGCAAGAGAGCACAGAAAGCCATTGTTAAAGCATGTGGAGAAACTATGGGACGAGGTGTCAGAAGCTGCAGCTTCGCTTTAGGTCCATGTGACCAGTGTGTGTATTTGTACACAGACACTTAAACTGTACATTTGCATATAATGTATATGCATAATAATGACAAATCTAAAAACATCCAAGTTAAACATACCTCTGTGTTGTTGTTGCACGTTCGAAGGAGCTCCTGTCAAAGAAAGAGGGATAATGTTTTAACAAACCAGACACATAGTAATTTTAAGACCTAACAATATCAATCACTGTTACAGTATCAACTATAACATATGTATATGAGTGAATTGTTGAACAGAATAGTCCAAGTAATTAAGATTAAAAAGAAAATCATAAAATCATAAAATAGCAATGATGTGTAAGGGTTATTGTGAATATGTGTGTGTTAATGTTGGTTCTCTTCACAAAATATCTTCATCTTGGTGCAGAAAGACTTCATTCATGAGCATGAGGTGAATTTAAACCATTATTTAACACTGCACTATTAAATATTCTCCACTGTAAACCCTCCTCCTGTTTCATAACCAGCACCTTCAACAGTTTCTCACACACAGGTCATGTTACCTGTAACTTTTTGACTCGCTCATCATCGTTAGGCAGGCCAATCAGGTCGTCAATGTTCACCTCCTCTGGCATGTCACCTTCCTGATAAAACAAACCCGTACAGACTCTTAATTATCGTAAACATTATAATAAAGTATCATACTGAACCATATAAATAAACTTTGATGATGATGATGATGATGATGATGATGAAAAAGGTTCGCTCTCTTTTTGTCTTGATCCATCTATATAAAACCTCTCTAAAAATGAGCTGATCAGATTTTGGCCACTTTGTGATGTCACAAGGTTTTTCTGGGTTGTGCAACCATTAGCTAATAACCAACCAAGGTAACCCCCCCACCTTATTACCTGAATCTCCTCCTAGAGTACCTTTGTTTTTTTTCAAACCAATCACTTTTCAGAGGGGCGTGGCCAGCAGCAGTTCATTAGCATTAAAGCTAAATACACAGAATCAGCACTTTTGAAACATTGCTGAAACAGAGGGGTTTATGGCATGTTAGATGCTACAATGCATGATCTGTTTGGTATTTCAGCCAAACTCTTCAGAGACTTGTTTTGTACATAATTAAGACCTATAATATATTGTTGAAAAAGAGTATAATAAGCAACCTTTAAGCATAATTAATTTTGATACACTGTTAAAGTGAAAAGCCATGCTCGTGGCTCTGTAAGGCTTCACTAAGCTGTCAACATGCTAACAATGCTAGCCTGCTGATGTTAAGCAGATATTATGATCTAACGGTCTAGGTCTTTGTGCGGACACACAGCTAGTGTTAGAATTAGGAAAATATCTCAGTATCTGTAGATAAGTGGGTCTGCGAGACTGCAGATAGTTTAGCATGTTAGCATGCTAACGTTTGCTAGATAGCATTTAACACAAAGTACAGCTAAGGCTGATAGGATTGCCATCAGGTATCAGGTCATAAGTAGGTCTGGGGATCACAGTTATCGCAATTGCCAAAATCATGAATGTCTGTACCAAATTTCACAGAAATAATTGTTGAGATACTTTAATAAAAATAGAAAAAATGTTAACCCTCTATGGCAGGGGTGGGGAACCTCCGGCCCGCGAGACCATTTGGTACGGCCCTGGAGGTAAAAAAAATGGACCACAAAAGAATTAAAAAAGCAAGTGCCTGTTTTTCCTGGCCAAGGTCAGGGACCTTGAACACAACACGAGCCTAACGTGTCATCACGTGGTATATGTCTCATCTGACAGGGGTGTAGTGCTGACGGAGAGCACCAGAACGTCGCTCCGGCACTTCAAAAATTGCAGTACCCATAAGGAGCCGTACACATGCCGCAAAAACTGGCTGTGTCTTTAGTTGTAAGCCCAGTGGCGATCTGTTCATCTGACATACTGATCATACAGTCAATAACTTTGTTGTTATTAGCATCTGGTTAGCTAGCTATGCTAACGAATATAAGAAGCTTTTTCTACAACCATGGTAAAGGCACATCTGTATATGATCATTATAGTTGTAAAAAAATAAGAGAATAAATGAAAAACAGGTATAAAATACTATATGACAGTAAAATGGCCCTTGAGAGGAAAAAGGTTCCCCACCCCTGCTCTATGGCATGACTTTTTATTTTGGAAAAAATGTTTCACCATGTGTTTTAGGAGCTTAGGGGTCCTTGATATTATATCAATTTTAAAATGTGACCCCCCACACCCCTCAACCAGGGGTAGGTTTGTTGCCTCAGGGCAACAATGTGCTACGAGGGTATTGAAACACCAGGGATTTCTACAATTCAGAAGAAATAGGGGCCCTGTACGTGTGTGTGTGTGTATATGTGTGTGTGTCTGTGTGCCTAACCCTATCTTGACCTTCACTGTCAGACGGAATAGCCCTAACAGCCTGATCGTTATTTTAAGTTGTGTACATTTCTAATATGTTAAAAGGTGAAATGTATCTTACCAAGTGGTGGCACTGAGTCCCCTGCAGCTTTGCTTGCAGAAAGGACTGCTCCACCCCCAGACAAAATGCCACACCCATATAATTCCCTCATTGTATTGGACACCAGCATGTCAGGTGACATTGTATATATTTTAAAAAATTAAAATATTTAGAGGGCCAGTGTGAGGTCGAAAAAAGTGGTGTGTTGCCTGAGGGCAACAGTATGCCAGAGGGTTAAGCTCATGGTGGCGCAAGAGGAAAAGTCAGAGGACAATTTACTTTCTGAGAACCACTGATATCTAAAAAAACAATAATTTTCAATCCATCAATAGCCTAAATGTTGAAATATGTATTTAAGATGAACTCTGGCCATCTGGTGTTGCAAGAGGGAAAGTCAATGGGTCAAAGGGAACGTTCATTTATCATCCGTACAGACATTGAATAACTGTAGCAAATGTCAGGGCAATCCATTCATTCGTTGACAAGCTATTTCCCTCTGCACTGCATAATGAACCTCATGGTGGCCTAAGAACAAACTGACTGACCTGCAGCCATAGAAATACCACGGCTACAAATATTGGTGCAACTGTAAATATACGCAGGAGCCAAGGTCCATTTACACAAACAGTTCATTCCAGGGAACCCTCAGGTACTGGTGGAGATAATAGCAGAAGGAAATATTTAGCATCCTGGAACCATGTGTCGAGCAACTGAAGACTTTAGAGTCCGTCTGCACACATTGCATATCCATCACTTGCATGTTTAGGCTCTGAATGGGGACAATGTTCACTTAGCAATGAGAGAGTGGCTTGTTCTGTTTAAACAAACAGTCGTTGTTCCAGTTTAGCTGGGCGAAAGGGACAGTCCAATCTGCCCATAGATAGGCTACCACTGAAATGTGTAATCCCATTGACACAGACAGGACTTCTGCTCTACAGCCCCACAGATCACATTCAGGTCACATCGTCCACATCCAGGTCCATCTCACTGGAAAAACACACCTCTGTTTGTGTGTGTTCAACAAAATAAATCCTGTCTAGAGTAGTTAGAGAATACTACTAACTAACAAAACAGATATGAACCATTACAATGAAAATAAGAGTTTCCAAAGTGACAATTTTCTCCTCTAATACCGCATCAAATCTATGTTTTGATGTGAGGTTCATGTGAATATGCCATTGATTGGAAGGCTTCATTCTCTGTGTTTAAATTACACTGATACTCTCTACATCTATTCATTCCAAAAAAACACATATTTATATATTATTGGAATGTTTATTCTACTGTATAATATGTCAAATTAACTTATTCTATTTTATATGTATGTCGTCTTATTCCTGCAATTTCATGTCTATTGCACTATTGTGTGTATTTTTCTTTTGATGTTAAGTATATAGTAAGTTGCATTGTTGGAGGAGCTTGGAATTTAAGATTTTCCTTGCTAACGAAATAGCTTTTCTGCATAAGACAATTAAAGCCTGTGAATTCCTTGAATCCATTGAGCCCTATTTGGTCATTTTGCTTCAAAGAAATGCCTTATCATTGAGATGATCTGCCGATATGTTCTATAATTTAACATACTTGGCTAAACAGCACAAACAGGCACTTCATGTCCAAAAATGTCCTCTTGAGAGACCCTTAATCCCTGTCAGTCGCCTCAGAGTCCAGATGTGAGGTGTCCTCCTGGGATTTGAACAACAGCTCCTTCTCTGCTCCGTATCCTTTTTCACATAAATTATGTTCTCTCTCAGTTCCACAGTGACCATGTAAGGCAAGCCCAGAGACATATACATATCTCTGGGAAGGGGACAGCTGTGGAGCACAGGATGCTTGGCCTTGTAAGGAGAACCAGGGTGGGCCACCTCTCCTCCTAATGATCATCCCCTCAGGAGGCCTGCAGCTCAGGACTGTGTAATCTCAATATACCAAATTATTGAAATATAATAACTTTATATTGAAAGCTTCCTGCCTCATTTCCCATACTTAAACTATGGAGTCACACCTTCAGAATTGTACATAATCTTTAATGACATTTTGTTTGATTAGGATACTGTCTTATTATTAGCGGTGGAAAGTAACTAAGTTCATTTGCTTAAGAACTGTACTTAAGTACAATTTGAGTAACTTGTACTTTACTTAAGTATTTCCATTTAATGCTACTTCATACTTCACTACATCTCATATACATATTGTACTTTTACTCCAACAGATGTACTTGTCTCTGTCTGACAGCTTTAGTTACTTTTCAGATGTTGCATTACAAACCAGTGGAATATCAGTTTAAGGTAAAAAGGACAAATAACCAATTGCATGACAAGAAAGTAAGTAGCTGGACATTTGTCCCACCACTGCTTTTTGTACAATACAGATTTGTTTTAGAATTTAAGGTCGCTGCTCCACCCACCTGCCCCGCGTACAGCCGCTCCAGGCTCTCGTCGATCCACTTCTCCACGTCCAGCCGCCTCTGCAGCTCCTTTCGGTTGTACTTCACGGTAACCCGGGCATGTCTCTTCTGGATGTTACCACCGTGTTCCTGAAACTCCAAATCTGATGAATGTACCTCGTCCGTTTCCTCGAGAGCCGCTCCGGCGCGCTCGGCTGCCATGTCTGCTGTGCGCTGGTGTGACTGGTTCCCTTCCTCTGGAGGAGTGGGGGGGGGGGAGGCAGGGACAACATTCTGTCCTCCTGGGATGTTTACACACGGGGTATACAAATAATCATCTGAACCAGTGCATGACTTAAATGGCATTTCGAATTAAACTACAAGGTAACATAGTGTATTTACTCCAGCACTGCAAAGTGGAATCATTATGGCTGACTCACAACTAATAGCATCTGACCTCTGCAACATAGATAGCTACAATGCATACCTTTTTATTTGTACATTGGTTCACAGCGTCAATACCAATCAATAAGATGATTGATTGTACCGTTTTTTAATTCCTTTATGATGTAAAAAGTTCCTACAGCACTGCTCGGTTCTCCTGAGTGTTCACTTTCCTTATGGGCACTGGCATGATATATTTTATATTCTAAGTAGTTTTTGAGGGTGTACGTTTTCAGTGGATAATATATTAAAGGGCCCTCTTGTGCAAATGTTTAGGTGTATATCAGTATGTAGTGTCTCTACTGGGACATGTCTCCATGCTTTCATTTTCAAAAAGCTCTTTATTTTTCTCATACTGCCTGTGCTGCAGCACCTCTTTTCACCCTCTGTCTGAAACCAGAGCCGAGTCTGCTCTGGTTGGTTAGCTGGCTGGCTCTGCTGTGATTGGTCAACCACTTACAGATGTTTCACAATTTTGCTTATCACGTACGATGTGTTGAGGTGCTAGCCAGAAGAAGCGCAAGTGTATAGTGATGTCACTGGGGGTGTGTGAGAGGAACTCCCTCTGGAAGGAACTTTGGTATTTTAGCCTTTGCAGACCATTTACATGCACACATACCTATATAACAAACCACAGGAAAGGGAAACCCCAAAAAGCATAATAGGGCCCCTTTAAGTCTTCTTGGTGACACCTGATTATACACAATGTTATCGGATAATCTCATCTTATTTCCCTGAAGTATTGAGAGACAAAACCAGAATAGCATTAAAGCAAATTGTTTATTTGACATCACAACAACAACATGATGAAATTAAATAATATGAATGAAAACATAACACAAACTTTGGCATGAACATAAAATGGCACATGAAAGAGCAATTTAATCAGTAGTATATAAACTATATATATATAAATTACAGTAACGGCTGACTTTGTGTAAAAGCACATTGTCTTCATATCCCTGCTCTGAATATCTTTGGGATATTTCACACAGCCGTAAAACATCCAGCTACATCAAGTGTCGGTCTTCATTCAGCATCATATAAATATATCTCTACATCTTTGACAATCGAAGAGAAGACATTAATAACAACATTTTTGTAAATAAATAAATAATATAAATTATAATTATGATGGTACGCACAATAAGGAAATAAAGTCCAAAGGAAGATTGAAAAGCAAACACAAAAATCAGTGTTTAAAAAATGAGAAACAGCCAAACAAAGTGAACATATTAAAAAAACAATATCTCATTTATACATATTTTTCCAAAGAGTTTTGTGACTTCCTGTATTTGGTTTGTGTTGTAGGTCCTATGAAGGGTTGATCGTATTATTTGTTTCTTTGGATCTGAAACGTGGAAGAGCTTTGCCCCATACACCTAGTCAAAATCTTTGAAAATCATCATCAACAGAATAGTTCATTTGTCTTTTTTTTTTGTATGCTTACATTTTTAATGGTACATCTTCTGCATGAGTGGTTTTCAACTCATGGATTCGCTCCTTTCTTCACTGTGCATGACAAGAGAGGAGCAACAAGTGCTAATATTTCTTTACCCCTGTATGAACGTCCCATGTTCCTTCAGTGTTTCATCTCAGCCCTGCTGCAGAGCCCAGGCTGGCCTCGTCCCTCCACATAAAGTCCTGCCGCTCGTCTCTGGCCGGTCTGCTCTCAGCAGGAGTGGGTCTGTACCCGGATCTTCCGTCTGGGCAGAGGGAGAGGCTGAGGCGAGCCGTGCCGTTGCTGATCTTGAACAAGCCGTTGGGACCGAGGAAGGAGTCTCTTTCGCTTCCTCCAACGTTGTTGACATTCTCTAAGTCGTTGTAGACTGCAACGTCGCTGAGCTGCTTCCTCCCCTGCAGCCTCCTTCTCCTCCTCAGGAAGATGATACCTGCCAGCAGGACCAGCACCAGGACGGCCAGGATGCAGGAGACAGTGAGGGTGGCGGAGGAGGGCTGGGAGGTCTGACGCAGGGCGGGCTTGAAGCTGGGCTGCAGGGTGAACTCACAGCTGGGACCCATGAAGCCTTTGGGGCACTGGCACACCGGCCCGGTGAAGTGGGTGAAGCAGGTGCCCCCGTTCTGGCATGGGAGGACTCCACAGGCATCTGAGCGCACGCTGCAGTTCTTGCCGGTGTACCCCAGGGTGCAGGAGCAGGTGTAGCCGCTCACACCGTCTTGGCAGGTTCCAGCGTTCTGGCAGGGGGTGGAGGCGCAGTCGTCGATGTTGACCTGGCAGTTGGCACCAGTGAAGCCGGCCTTACAGCGGCACAAGACGCTCTGGCCGAGATCCAGACAATCACCACCTGCAGGAGAGAGAAAATACTGTTGAGCATCCAAGAGATCTGAGACGACTCTTTGTTAAAAGGGTTGTTAATGTGATTACATCTTAACACTCCCTTGCAGCAGGTGCAATGATGCTGGAGTGTTGACAGTGATTCAGGAAAACGATTTGATATTTTGCCAAGTAACTGCTGGGTTGTCTTTCAGCCACTAGATGTCGCCAGAGGAATACTCACCGTTCAGACAGGGCCTGTTGCTGCAGCGGTCCAGCTTCTTCTCACAGTTGGAGCCGGTGTAGCTGGGGGGGCAGCGGCAGGTGTAGCCCCCAGTCATGGCCTCCACACAGGTGCCTCCGTTGAAGCAGGGACCGTCAGCACAGGTCATGGCGATGATCTCGCAGTTTTTACCGTAGAATCCCTGAGGGCAGCTGCATGAGTAGTCATTCTCCAGGTCCTGTGGACAGAGGGAGATAAAAGGTCTATGTTAAAAAAGAAATAAAGTTCGGGATAGATGTGTGGCGCCATGTTGTTCTGCAGCTGTTTTAATGTTAGGTAAAGGGATGATACAAGCTTTTCATTTTCAATATGCATCAAATGAGTCTACATGAAGTTGTACATTTGCAGTTCAGCAATCTACTTGTTTATTGCAAATGAATAGTCTCTTCACACGACTTAAATGCAAAATAATCTATATACTGGTAGCACTGTAAGTTAATAGACTGGCACTATGACATCATCAGCAGCCAAACCCTTTTAAACTGTGCAGTTCTGCATTATTATCTTATTAATACCCCTCTGTATATATTGCAATATACATTTTAAATAATGTAGTACAATGTGCACCCTTCTACTTTAGCTTCTTATGTTTATATACATATTTGTATTACATTTAATTTAATTAAATATATTACTTTCATTTCCTCAGTTTATATACATTTATTTATTTGTATTTTATAAATTATTCCACTTTTTATTGCACATTCTTACTTTAACTTCTCATGTGTATTTTTATTCAATTTTCATTTATTTCAGTTTCTACATAAATAAAGTATTCTGATTCTGATACTGTTCTTATATTTCTGCTGTTGTGACACTTGATATTCCACGCATGGGATCCTTTCTATCCTAACTTTAAAGCTTGTATTTCTTTATGCAGGTGTTTCAGTAAAATTGCACCTTAAAATCAAACGAATAACACTTGATCCCCTTGTACTCACGTTGCAGCTGCCTCCGTTCTTGCAGGGGTTGCTGTCACACTCGTTGGTCTCCAGCTCACAGTTGGTCCCTCCGAAGCCGGGCCGGCAGGTGCAGGTGTAGCTGCCCTGGCCCGTGTTGGTGCAGGTGGCCCCGTTGGCACAGGGCTTGTGGTTGGTGCAGTAGTTGAGGTCCTGGTCGCAGAAGAGGCCCCCCCCAGCCCTCCTGGCAAGTACACTGCCAGGGCTGGCCGCAGGTCCCATGGAGGCAGCCTGGGTAGCGAACACACTCGGTGCAGAAGGGGCCCTGCCAGCCCATGCGACAAGTACAGCCCCCAGGGGCCTCGCAGTAACCGTGCTTCTCACTGCAGTCCGCCGAGCAGATGGCTGGAGAGGGGGGGGGAGAGAGGGGGCATGATTACAATGGGAATGCCTCCTCATACATCTCTTACTCACACACACACACACACACACACACACACACACACACACACACACACACACACACACACACACACACACACACGTACAGGGCCCCTTGTCTGACCCCAGCGCTGCTCCAGACTTCACTGTTGGTTAAGTATTAAGCCAAGCAGCTGGTAGGCACACTGCCGGAGAAAACGCTTTCTTTTATCTCCACACACACACACACACACACACACACACACACACACACACACACACACACACACACACACACACACACACACACACACACACACACACACACACACACATTTCAAGGTGATGTGAGTGTAGGTGTGTGTGTGTGAGTGTGTGTTTGTGTGTAATAGGGGCCACAGCTCTTTCTCTCATTGTAACAGAGAACAAAAGACAGATGGAACACCACAGCCGGTAACACACAGCACTACGGGACATCACTCTGATAAAATAAAATCTATATGCTCTGAACACATATCTAACTGTAAGAGATCAACCTGAGTGCTAAATAAAAAAGCTATGTTTATCTCTGCTTTGACAAAACTTGGGTGTAATTTTTCAAGCCTTGGGAGGACAAAGGGTTGGGTTTTTTCCTCCATTTAACAGATTTTTGAGTAACAAATGCCTACATTTGTCTCCACTCAATAAATGCCCTACATTTCTTGACTTTCTTGCCAGATGTTTGTTGGTGTGTTTTGTGATGTACTGTTTTGTTTAGTGAAGAGAGTGCACGGACTGGAAACTCCTATAGAATGACAGTAAACAGTCTCCAGAAGGATGACATTTAATTAATGTGTTGTTTTTTTTCTTACTGTTTTTTTCTTGTATTGCATTGTACTTTATTCACTTTTTACATGTGTTTTGGTAATCAAATGCAGTGTTTTCTCTCATATTTGAGTCCCTAAAGTGCCTCAGCAAACTATTATAAGGCGCCTTGCTCCAGAACACTTTGGTACTTATTATTAAACTTACGTTCAGAGCAGTAGTTTCCCTTCCAGCCCTCCAGGCAGATGCGGTTTCCCTCCTCGTCGCAGGTGTAGTGGCCCAGCGTGTCGTCTCTCGGCCTGCAGTATTCGGCACAGCCGTCTCCAAAGTAGTACTCATCGCAGAAGACGTGGTAGGAGTAGCGCAGCTCGCTCTGCTCTCCAAAGTGAACATCCTGGGACCAATCCTCCCCGATGGCAAGTCTCCTCCGGGTGGCCAGGCGGCTCACAAGGTTGTTTTGGTTGTCTGAAGAGGGAATGAGCACAATTGTTATTACCCTTGCCTGCGTCAGCCCAAAGCCTACGTACACTTGTGATTTATATCAGAATAAAGTTTTAGTGATATACATAAAACTTCGACTCAATGATTTAGCATCTCATAGTATAAACAACCTACCTGTGTATTCAGTCGGATTCTCGGCATTCCAGGCTTCAATAATCAACGAAAATGTTCCCTATAATAGAGAAAACGGAATTGGTCAATGGGGGTATTTACGCACGAATCTGTCATTGTTACATTGCCCGATTTCAAACCTTAAACTTCCGAAATCTAAAACTTGTAATTGTTTAAGTATGATTTTTCCATTTACCGGCCACTTGAAGTGGAAAGGCACCCTGATAGGAGCGCTGCTGGAGATGGAGGTGTGATCAGCCCTGATAACATTGGTGTGTCCGGTGCCAAAGGTGCATGGTGGCTCGGCTGAGATCACATCCTCGGGGTGTTTAAGGCAAATCCTGAAAAATATGTGACAGTCCCTGTGTCTTCTGCAGATCCGCTGCGCCGTGTGGTATGAGTTTATCTTCAGCTCAAACACACCGGAGGAACAAACCTGCAATGACAGAAACACATGATGTCAGACACGCTGTGCGTAAAGACATGTTAAGATGATCTTATCAGGACATACAAAGATAGCCAACTTACTACGTGCACTAAGGCCAGAGCTAATAGGTATCTCAGGTGCAGATGTGCCATTTTCTTCTCGGAGTTTGATTTCCAGTTCTATGTGAATGTTCGCATTCGTCGCTTGCGATAATATTCCCAAAAAATGTTGGATCAAAATTAAAAAAGTTTCATCCCTTTGACATCTGTTATCCTGGTGGTCTATCCTAAATCCTTGTCTTCTGCTGACAGGCTTCTACTCGGTCCTGGTTGGTACTCCACTTGTTTTGGTTCTGCTTCGTAAAAGGCGCAGAGTGGTTTTATACTCTCTGTTGCTGCGCGTCACTGGCAAAGAGGAGGAGCAGGGGCAGACCTCAGGGGAGCATCCTGACACGGGGGCCCAGCCTGCCCGCCGGCCTGGGGATTTAGAAACCCACATTACACCTGGACTGAATTTGTAATAAGGATATGCATAAGCTAGTGCAAGGCAGATATCTAAGCATATCTGTATGAATCCTAACGCATGTGGGTGGTGGAATTGAATCAAACGCGCCACAAAAGGTCTATCCAAGCTCGTGAGGCCAACATTAATGTCTTCTATCTTATAACTGAGTGGAAGGAAAACTGTAGATTATATGCCTTATATAACACACACGCCATAAAAATATGTAAAAATACTTTTACATCCAGATTTGTGGGAATGTGCCAAACAATGAGCGTGCCAGGAAACTATACAATCAATGACTCCTGCATTACATCATCACTACATTAAATGTTTCACCAATATACAGATCATTATTTGTTTTTTCTTTGGAGCTGGCCTACACAAAGATCAGAAGGAAGCGGTGAAGAATAGCACATATAACTTCTCTTTCTTTATGCCCAACATTGTAATTGCTCCAACGCGTGTGGGGTGACAAAGAAAGTGGGCAGGTCCTGGAGAGGGACTATTGTGCGTCTGGCGGCTATTCAGACCTCTGTGGCGCTCCTGGAGAAGGGTGCGGGGGTATACAAGAAGGAAGGGGGAGGCGTGTGTGTGTGTGTGTGTGTGTGCGTGTGTGTGTGCGTGTGTGTGTGTGTGTGTGTGTGTGTGTGTGTGTGTGTGTGTGTGTGTGTGTGTGTGTGTGTGTGTGTGTGTGTGTGTGTGTGTGTGTGCTGTGGGTGGACGCTTTGGGGAGACAATAGCCGGTTTGGAGCCCCACACGGTCGACCATGTGCCGTTGATTACCATACAGCTGTTCGCATGAGTCCAGACAAAAGCAACATGATAGTCCAAACTCTGCAGGACCCCCTCACACACACACACACACACACACACACACACACACACACACACACACACACACACACACACACACACACACACACACACACACACACACACACACACACACACACACAGTATTGATTTAGGAGGGTTCTGGCTGGCCGTCGGTTTCAGCAGCTGTCGTCGCTGGATGGTGGAGGGTAAACACACCTAAACGGTTATTTACTTTAAAGCTGATCCACCCGAATGAGCGATTTAATAGTGAACAGCATCAGATTTATATTATAATATAAGGTAATTTAAGTTTCACAACCTTAAAATAAACATTGGTGTTCTGTTCGCTACTTTATGGTTATGGTCGCTTGAAGGTGCGTAAAGTTCTGTATCCAAACAGCGATGGTGGTGTAATACATCAACACATAATCATTAATAGATATAAAAAGCAAGTTTGATTCAGAAAGGGAAGGAACAAATTCAACAAACTGACATAAAGTCAGAGATTTCAAGATGACAACTGCATGACATTTCTGTGTTTATTAATTCCACCCTGGAACGCGTGTGTTATGTGCATGGTGATAGTAGGCGGCTGGGGGTGGGGTTCCATTGATATTGTAATGAGGGGAGAGGACGCGTGCCTGAGGTGGCCCCCTGAACATCCTGGCACGCTTCTGTGCAGGACAGAGTCCTAAAGGAGGAGGAAACACACAGTTGTATGCAAAGTATGTGAAGATAAAAGACTGGAGCAGCCTCTTGTTGTTATTCAAGGTTAGCTTACTAACTTTAATGTCAAACCTCAAGCCCAGAACAGTGGTCCCAAAAGGGGGGCCAAGGAATTCCTTTTGTTTTTTAAAGTTTCATTCAACTTTTGGAGAGTACATTTAAAAACATGCTATTTAAAAATGAAAATGGCTTGTTTATAGCATTATTTATCTTATAAGGAGAAGAAGGTAATCATCAAAGTACACTTTTTGGGAACACTACATTAAGGGACACAAAAAGGAGTTAACAGGGAACAAATGAGGGGGGATAAAGAGGAAATAACTGCTGGTGATTCCTAAGTTAACGAGTATAACTCCTTATCACATATTATGGCTAATGATTAGTAAAATAAGAAACAAGAGAAGAAGGAATTTCTTAAAAATGAGTTAGCCTACTGATTTTCTGTCCACCCAAGTAAAGTGAAAAGTGGTTCTTAAGTTCCTAAGTAGTCCCTCATGCTTAATCCTTATGTCAGGATAAGTAACAATACCAAATAATTTCAACTTGACTATCTGACAAACAACTAATAATCATGCTGTACAAGCGTCAGAAATAGAAACAGTGAAAATACATTTTACCAGAGATGGGAATGAAACAGACAGCTCACTTGTTAGTAACTTGAGACATCCTCATCCTCATCCTCATCATCATCATCCTCATCATCATCATCATCATCATCATCATCAAGTTTAAATTCTTCTTGATGCATTCCGATGAGGTATATGCTGTGAATATTCTCTACAAGAGGAAATACTATTTATTAAACACCGCATTTTCACCCATCTCACTTATTTTCCATCTTTGTTGGTTGAGAGTTGCACATGTACATATCACTTGGCTTCAGGTAGGATGTATAGATTGTGCACCAACAGTCAACTTACATTTTGTATTAAGATAAGATGGTCAGGTTGAGTTTTTATGTTCCTTTATTCAACCTCAGAAAATAACTGTTTCCATGCAACAACAACTTGTGACTGAAGTGAACATGTTAGCATGCTAGGCTAACCAACATACGATAATGAAGCCAACAGTCAATGGGGCTAAAGTGTGTGAAGTTATATTATGTTCATAATATCCATGTATGTTATTGTTAATGTATATGATGAACAAAATAAACTTGTTAAAGAAACCTGTCTTTGATTTCTCATTAATAACTAATTGTAAAGATAACGATAATGTATGGGGGATGAAGTAACTATTCAGTACTCATGCGTTAATGATGATATATCATTTCATTCGGTCGAATGTATTGATTGGACGGCCAACCTAAGATTATTATGGTGAAGTGGTCTGTAGGGGTTGTCAAAATAGCCAACATTAGAACTTTGTTCTCTAAATGTAACGACTTTTGAAGCTAGTGCTGATTATTGCTGGAAAAGGATTGGCGGCATTGAGCTAGGTTTTTTGTTTGAATAATTTTAAGATCTTACCTACTCTCACTGCCTTCTCAAATGTACCTATCCAAGCCTTAATTAATCAAAAGCAACTCAAATTTGATAAGGAATTAACTTAAAGTGGACCTATCATGCTATATTTAAATGATATATTGTAGGGCCATACCTATATAAGGTATATTTATACGTTTCTGTTTTCAAAATACCAAACAGATCATGCATTTTAGCCATGCCTCATTTCGCTCTATGTGCTGTTTGCTGTCTACGGGTCTGATTCTGCTGACCACGCCCCCCTGCAGGAGAGGGGAGACGTGCTCTGATCAGCTGCTGGGCTGTCAGAAGAGGGGAAGAAAAAGAGATCTCCGTCCTCCGTGTTTTATTATATAGAGTCGTTATTCATTTGTTTTAAAGCTCAATAAATAACAAAGAAGACCTTTGACCGGCACTTTTCTAATTTTGTCCGGAAGATTTAAAATGTAACGGACATCTTGACCGGCGAAACAAACTGAAACTGAAACTCTGCCGCACGGTCCCCTCGTTCCTTGGAAGAGGCGGAGAGGTGGGTGTTTGTCATCTGCTGGTGGACTAACCGGAGAGAACTACAGTGCTTGCCTCGACGGGGAGGGATTGCATTGAATTACAGCAGCAGGAGCAAACGCTTGCCTCGGGGAGGGAGAAAAAGAGCCACAGCAGAGAATAAACAGAAGGGTAACCATGGTAACTATGGGCGGGAAGTCTTCTTCGTTGCTTTTGTGGCAGACTACAGCGCCACTTACAGGCCTGGCATATGTACTACAGCGTCTCCAGCGCTTTCGAGCGGCAATGGCCGTGGCCCAACCCCACATTCCCCTGATAGGTGGAGAGTTGGCCCAATAGCCGTAGCGCCACCGTCCTGACGTCAGGACAGTGTTCAAATCTGGATCAGTTTTTATCAGATCCGTTGCAGCCCCTTTTTAAGAGATTTGGGTATGGAGGAAAATAGAGAGGGTTGTGTTTTCTGACACTTGGTGAGTTCCCTGGAACACCGGGGACACATATTCATGTATAAAAGACGTACAAAAATGCATTTTGCATGATAGGTCCCCTTTAAGGTTAACAATTGGTTCTGAATTCATTCCTCATGCGTTCCCTGGCAACTGCTCACATTGTTGTGTAGCTTAGTGTAAATTCTTAACACATTTTTAAATGTGCTCTACTGACTCTGTTATGAATATGGTATCGTATCAGCATGCTTTGTTTTTTAATTATTTGAGGTTGATGTATGTTGTGTGTTTTCTTCTCAAAGACAAAATGCATTCTTTTTATCTATAGAACCTAAACAGATAAGTTGCAGCTTCTCGATGATCTTAGTAAATAGCAGGTAAAACAATTGTGAATAAAAGGGAACTAAGCACAGGCAATCTGTGGCTGCTCTACAGCATCATAATATTTTCATCACAACTTGATTCCAAATAATACAAAATACATCTTAGTAAAATGTGATGAATATTGGATGTGAAAAGATAAAGACCCCCCTTCTGCTCACATCCCCAAGGATTACATTTCCTTCAGCATAAAGGAACAAATATATATAGATATATATCCCACTTCCCATAATGGTGTGTGTGTGTGTGTGTGTGTGTGTGTGTGTGTGTGTGTGTGTGTGTGTGTGTGTGTGTGTGTGTGTGTGTATGTGTGTGTGTGTGTGTGTGTGTGTGTGTGTGTGTGTGTGTGGCACATGTTCCTATACATCATGTTATATATCTTACCACCCTCACGTCACACACACACACTGTCCACACATCCTCTTGTACACACACACTAATGCTCAGCGTCCAGCTACAGTACCGCTGCATCTC